TAAATATATATGCAGCCAATACAGGAGCACCCAGATTCATCAAGCAAGTCCTTAGAGACTTACAAAGAGACTTAGACTCCCATACAATAATAATGGGAGACTTCAACACTCCACTGTCAACATTAGACAGATCAACGAGACAGAAAGTTACAAGGATATCCAGGAATTGAACTCATCTTGCAGCAAGCAGACCTAATAGACATCTGTAGAACTCTCCACCCCAAATCAACAGAATATACATTCTTCTCAGCACCACATCGTACTTACTCCAAAATCGACCACGTAATTGGAAGTAAAGCACTCCTCAGCAAATGTACAAGAACAGAAATTATAACAAACTGTCTCTCAGACCACAGTGCAATCAAACTAGAACTCAGGACTAAGAAACTCAATCAAAACCATTCAACTACATGGAAACTGAACAACCTGCTCCTGAATGACTACTGGGTACATAACGAAATGAAGGCAGAAATAAAGATGTTCTTTGAAACCAATGAGAACAAAGATACAACATACCAGAATCTCTGGGACACATTTAAAGCAGTGTGTAGAGGGAAATTTAGAGCACTAAATGCCCACAAGAGAAAGCAGGAAAGATCTAAAATCGACACTCTAACATCACAATTAAAAGAACTAGAGAAGCAAGAGCAAACACATTCGAAAGCTAGCAGAAGGCTAGAAATAACTAAGATCAGAGCAGAACTGAAGGAGATAGAGACACAAAAAACTCTCCAAAAAATCAATGAATCCAGGAGTTGGTTTTTTGAAAAGATCAACAAAATTGACAGACCACTAGCAAGACTAATAAAGAGGAAAAGAGAGAAGAATCAAATCGACGCAATTAAAAATGATAAAGGGGATATCACCACCGACCCCACAGAAATACAAACTACCATCAGAGAATACTATAAACACCTCTACGCAAATAAACTGGAAAATCTAGAAGAGATGGATAATTTCCTGGACACTTACACTCTCTGAACACTAAACCAGGAAGAAGTTGAATCCCTGAATAGACCAATAGCAGGCTCTGAAATTGAGGCAATAATTAATAGCCTACCAACCAAAAAAAGTCCAGGACCAGATGGATTCACAGCTGAATTCTACCAGAGGTACAAGGAGGAGTTGGTACCATTCCTTCTGAAACTATTCCAATCAATAGAAAAAGAGGGAATCCTCCCTAACTCATTTTACGAGGCCATCATCATCCTGATACCAAAGCCTGGCAGAGACACAACAAAAAAAGAGAATTTTAGACCAATATCCCTGATGAACATCGATGCGAAAGTCCTCAATAAAATACTGGCAAACCGGATTCAGCAACACATCAAAAAGCTTATCCACCATGATCAAGTGGGCTTCATCCCTGGGATGCAAGGCTGGTTCAACATTCGCAAATCAATAAACATAATCCAGCATATAAACAGAACCAAAGACAAGAACCACATGATTATCTCAATAGATGCAGAAAAGGCTTTTGACAAAATTCAACAGCCCTTCATGCTAAAAACGCTCAATAAATTCGGTATTGATGGAACGTACCTCAAAATAATAAGAGCTATTTATGACAAACCCACAGCCAATATCATACTGAATGGGCAAAAACTGGAAAAATTCCCTTTGAAAACTGGCACAAGACAGGGATGCCCTCTCTCACCACTCCTATTCAACATAGTGTTGGAAGTTCTGACTAGGGCAATCAGGCAAGAGAAAGAAATCAAGGGTATTCAGTTAGGAAAAGAAGAAGTCAAACTGTCCCTGTTTGCAGATGACATGATTGTATATTTAGAAAACCCCATCGTCTCAGCCCAAAATCTCCTTAAGCTGATAAGCAACTTCAGCAAAGTCTCAGGATACAAAATTAATGTGCAAAAATCACAAGCATTCTTATACATCAGTAACAGACAAACAGAGAGCCAAATCAGGAATGAACTTCCATTCACAATTGCTTCAAAGAGAATAAAATACCTAGGAATCCAACTTACAAGGGATGTAAAGGACCTCTTCAAGGAGAACTACAAACCACTGCTCAGTGAAATAAAAGAGGACACAAACAAATGGAAGAACATACCATGCTCATGGATAGGAAGAATCATATCGTGAAAATGGCCATACTGCCCAAGGTAATTTATAGATTCAATGCCATCCCCATCAAGCTACCAATGAGTTTCTTCACAGAATTGGAAAAAACTGCTTTAAAGTTCATATGGAAGCAAAAAAGAGCCCGCATCTCCAAGACAATCCTAAGTCAAAAGAACAAAGCTGGAGGCATCACACTACCTGACTTCAAACTATACTACAAGGCTACAGTAACCAAAACAGCATGGTACTGGTACCAAAACAGAGATATAGACCAATGGAACAGAACAGAGTCCTCAGAAATAATACCACACATCTACAGCCATCTGATCTTTGACAAACCTGAGAGAAACAAGAAATGGGGAAAAGATTCCCTATTTAATAATTGGTGCTGGGAAAATTGGCTAGCCATAAGTAGAAAGCTGAAACTGGATCCTTTCCTTACTCCTTATACGAAAATTAATTCAAGATGGATTAGAGACTTAAATGTTAGACCTAATACCATAAAAATCCTAGAGGAAAACCTAGGTATTACCATTCAGGACATAGGCATGGGCAAAGACTTCATGTCTAAAACACCAAAAGCAATGGCAGCAAAAGCCAAAATTGACAAATGGGATCTCATTAAATTAAAGAGCTTCTGCACAGCAAAAGAAACTACCATCAGAGTGAACAGGCAACCTACAGAATGGGAGAAAATTTTTGCAATCTACTCATCTGACAAAGGGCTAATATCCAGAACCTACAAAGAACTCAAACAAATTTACAAGAAAAAAACAAACAACCCCATCAAAAAGTGGGCAAAGGATATGAACAGACATTTCTCAAAAGAAGACATTCATACAGCCAACAGACACATGAAAAAATGCTCATCATCACTGGCCATCAGAGAAATGCAAATCAAAACCACAATGAGATACCATCTCACACCAGTTAGAATGGCGATCATTAAAAAGTCAGGAAACAACAGGTGCTGGAGAGGATGTGGAGAAATAGGAACACTTTTACACTGTTGGTGGGATTGTAAACTCGTTCAACCATTATGGAAAACAGTATGGCGATTCCTCAAGGATCTAGAACTAGATGTACCATATGACCCAGCCATCCCATTACTGGGTATATACCCAAAGGATTATAAATTATGCTGCTTAAAGACACATGCACACGTATGTTTATTGCAGCACTATTCACAATAGCAAAGACTTGGAATCAACCCAAATGTCCATCAGTGACAGATTGGATTAAGAAAATGTGGCACATATACACCATGGAATACTATGCAGCCATCAAAAAGGATGAGTTTGCGTCCTTTGTAGGGACATGGATGCAGCTGGAAACCATCATTCTTAGCAAACTATCACAAGAACAGACAACCAAACACCGCATGTTCTCACTCATAGGTGGGAACTGAACAATAAGATCAGTTGGACTCAGGAAGGGGAACATCACACACAGGGGCCTATCATGGGGAGGGGGAAGGGGGGAGGGATTGCATTGGGAGTTATACCTGATGTAAATGACGAGTTGATGGGTGCAGCACAGCAACATGGCACAAGTATACATATGTAACAAACCTGCACGTTATGCACATGTACCCTACAACTTAAAGTGTAATAATAATAAATAAATTAAAAAAAAAATTCATATGTTGAAACTCCAATTCCAATTTGGTAGTAGTTGGAAGTCAGGTTTTTGGAAGGTGTGTAGGTCATGAGGGTAGAGACCTCATGAATGGGATTAGTGCCCCTATAATAAGAGACATGAGAGCTAGCTCTCTTTCCAACTTGTGAGGACGCAAGGAGAAGTCGGCAATTTGCAATCTGGAATACAGCCCTCATCATAACCTTACCATGTTGGCACCGTGATCTCTGGCTTCCAATGTCCAGAACTGTGAAAAATAAATTTCTATTGTTTATAAGCCAAAAAAAAAAAAAAAAAAAAATAAAACCACATCTAATTTGCATGCATTCTATAAATCTAAATATGAATTTCCATACATTCTGTAAATCTAAATAGGGAATAAAATGAGCCATGCCTATTTATTTGAATCCAAAGTTTTCTTTGGCTTGAAGTTTTTAAAATATTAAAGAAGTAGCTTGTTTTAACAATTTATTGTTTTTATTTCAACTCTCCTTTTGTGTAGTACTCTTAAAAGGTAAAATTTCTTTCATTGTTAATCCTGTGAGTAGGACTGCCATACATATATATGTATATACCATATTCCACTTCTTGGAAGGCACTGTGAATTGCGTGATGCCTCCTTATTTTATGCACCAATAAAAGATTGTTTAAATTTCTGCCAAATATAGTTGTAATAAATAATGAATTATAAGTGGCATTTCCATGCCAGAGATGTTAAAATATGAGAAATTGAGCATCTTAGAATCTTTAAAATACTGTGTTACCTCTAACTTTTAAAACACACCACAAAGTAGGCATAATTGCACCATTTTACCTAAAATGTTTTCTTTGTTAAGTAGTAGTAATTTTTATAATATCTAACAATTACTGAGCTGTTACACGTACTAGGAACTCTCCCAAATACTTTGCGTAGATTCTCATTGAGGCATCACAGTGATGTCCTGAGATAACTACTGTATTCATCTTCATTTGATTGATGAGAAAATTGAGGTGCAGAAAGTTTAAGTGACAGCTAGAAAGTGAAAGATCTTAAAGTAATATTCAAGCTCAAGTTGAACTGAATCCAAAGGTCAAATTCTTTGTATTCAAACAGGCCACTCTTTCGTTAATGTAGTGAGCCAAAAGAGTGAATGAACATTGTACTTTCTTCAGGAGAATATTAAATATTTGTTTTGAAGGCAGAGAAAGAGCCTGGTATTCAATGTTGACAATTACATAAATCATTGTATGTTTTGAGACAGTGGACTAAACTTTGCCAACAAGTCCTCTCACTCTCATAGGACTGCTCTACACTGGGCCTGTGTCAACGGCCATGCGGAAGTAGTAACATTTCTGGTAGACAGAAAGTGCCGACTTGATGTCCTTGATGGCGAAAACAGGACACCTCTGATGAAGGTAAATAGTAGTCAATTTTTTTCAGTAGAAGATGGATTTGGTTCCAATACACAGAATAAAAATGAATTTAGTTGAAACACAACTAGTCTGTGAAACCTGTGGAATACTTATTTTGATTTCTTATAATTTATAATTTACTTCTTGCTTAAATACCGACAGGCTCTACAATGCCAGAGGGAGGCTTGTGCAAATATTCTGATAGATTCTGGTGCTGATCTAAATGTTGTAGATATGTATGGCAACACAGCTCTCCATTATGCTGTTTATAGTGAGAATTTGTCAATGGTGGCAAAACTGCTGTCCCATGGTGCAGTCATCGAAGTGCAAAACAAGGTAGACGTTAACCAATGTTATTTTCAAGATATTTGAAATCCATTTGTTTTAACATTAACATATGTAAAAGTGTTATATTTGGAAGCTCAAACATTCCTTGAATGAAAATAAGTTGAAAGAACTTAATTACCTAAGATTTTACTTTAAATATTAATATTTTTACAAGAACTATTAGAGACTATGGCTTTTCTGTGCATTTATGATAAATATTTGAGTTTGTTAAAGGTAAAACTTTTTCAAATATTCTTTCCTACCCAAGTTTTTTTTTCTTTCCAATTATTGTAAAACTACAGGAAAGCAAAATTTGCCTTCATAAATTGAGTCAACATGTAAAATTTAGGAGACATGCAGAAATCTGGATTTCTTCTTAAAGGATTGAATCTGGTGTCTCTTGAGCCCATATGACTGTTTTGCATGCTAAGAAGACGTTCCAGCTTTACACAAAGCATATGCTTCCAGTTTGCTACTGTGCCCACCTAGTTACATCACTTACTCAACTTACCTCTTTTGCCTTTGTAAATATTTCAGTCATCAATTCCTCTCTCATAGTATATGTTGGTAAAGATTTCAAGGTATTCAAGGCAGTTTATTGGTGTTTATAATATATGGTTTATATCTTACATTAATTCATTAATATTGGGGTTGACTTCTAGAATTTAGAAGATTTTTTTAAACAATGATTTTTCTATATATAAACCATAAATAATAATCTTTTATTAGAATGCTTTTAAGCCTTTTCAGATTAATCATGGTTGTATTTGAATAAGTTATGTGCATTGCAGAAAATATTATATCCTTCTTCTCAGAATTGTCCCTTAAAATTCAAGTGATTTAGGGGCTTCTATTATGCTAATCCACATAGGTGAGTTAGAACTTTCATGAATAAGCCATTTTATTCATATTTTTGATGTTTTGCCAAAAATTAAGTAGCAATTACAATAGAAACCAGAATACAAATGGATTGTTGCATTTTAAGAAATAGATATGCATTAGGATCCTAGGATTGTCATTATAATTGATAATAAACTTTTATACTGAATTTCTAATAGCTGAGATAAAATTTTATTGTCTTGTAACAGGAGAAACCCCATGGACCATTTAATAATAAGCAGTCAAAGTTCATTTGAAGCCAATCTCTTTTAATTTAGAGCCACTTCCTTAGTGACTCATTTAGAGCAGGAGTGCCTGACATTGGCATCTGGGATCTTGGGATTATTGATAGAAGAGAATCAAAAGAGTTTGTATCACCCAGAGGAAACCTCCATTTTTCTTGGAAATCTTACAAAACTGCATCCCTGAAATTCTAATTTGTCAAATGTTAATCTCTGCCACAAAAATACATTGTCAAATAAGTATTAGGCAAAGTTCAAGTCATTTATTGAATAATGGACATTTAATTCACAGTTTTATAATATTTCTTGAACATATATAATGGTGGAATCTGTTGGGGTACATTGCTTCTGGTAAGGTAATTATTCTCTGGAATATAGTTTAAGAAACACTGCCCTAGAGGTAATTATTTAGATTACTCATTTAGTCAAAAACAAATTATTTGCTACTATGTCTTAGGGTTTAAGGATATAGAGATAAAAGATACAGCCCTTGCCCTCAAGAAGCTCTTGGTTTAGATGGGAAACCATAAAATCATTACAATATAATGATTTTTGGAGATAACCAGAGTTAATGTGGTGATGCAGAGGTTGAATGTTTACAAGGGAAGGTGCAGTGCATGGGAAAGCACAGAAAAGGGATAAAGAAGGGACTGCTATTGATTTACTTTCTATTTTATGTGTTTAAGTTAATAGGATATTATGTAAGGTATTCAGTTCAGTTGAGAAATATGTAATTTCATGATTATAAATTGTTTTGATATTTTGCAGGCTAGCCTCACACCCCTTTTACTGGCCATAATGAAAAGAAGTGAGCGAATTGTGGAATTTTTGCTGACCAAAAATGCAAATGCAAATGTAGTTAATGAGTTTAAATGGTATGGTACTTCTTTTTTTTTTTTTTTTTTAAAAAAACACTTGACTAGTGTTCTAGATTAATAACACTCAAGTCAGAAATATTAAATTAATAACATTTAGTTAAAATTATTAGATTATAGTGAAACATATAAACACAAATTATCAGAAGAAAAGTGATTATTTGGACTGGTCAACATAAAGAACAGTATATAGTAGGACTTATCTTCTCTTATTATATCGACTGATTCTTATGTGTAATCTGATGTTTTTGGTTGCATCATCTTCTATTAATGAAAGTGGTTCTGTATTAGTTTTAAGAAGTGTGAACCTTTTCAGTTTATTTTATAATTCAATATTGAATTATTAACAGTTTTATAGTATTTTTCTAACTTCTCTTTTTTATACACTTTTTAAAACATGCAATATTTGCTGGGCATGGTAGCTGTTGCCTGTTATCCCAGCACTTTGGGAGGCCAAGGTGGTTGGATCACATGAGGCCAGGAGTTTGAGACCAGCTTAGCCAATATGGTGAAACCCCATCTCTAATAAAAACACAAAAATTAGCTGGGCATGGTGGCACATGCCTGTAGTCCCAGCTACTCAGGGGGCTGAGACACGAGAATCGCTTGACCCAAGAGGCAGAGTTTGCAGTGAGCTGAGATCATGCCACCACACTCCAGCCTGGGTAATAGAGTGAGATTCTATCTCAAAGAAAAAAAAGCAATATTAAATAGAAATAGGAGTATAAAATCATTTTGTCTTTAGGATGACTGTTTGCTTTAATAAAGTTGTTTTCTTTGAAGCATATTAATTTTAGGTTATCCCTATGTGACTGTTAATTGCTGCCACCAGATACTGTGAATTTATTATTATTTTTTCCTTTTTTATTCATAGGGTATTTTTATTTTTAATTTGAATGGGTAGAGGGAAGAAAGACATCTTTAATTGGATGAATATTTTAGTTAATTAAGATAAGCCATAGGTGAGTGATAAAGAGAAAAGATGCTTTTGATTCACACAAGACTGAGTTTAATTTATAGCTTCCACACTTGATAGGTGTGACTTTGCAAACATTACTTAATACCAAGTATGATTTTCTATATGAAAAGGAGAATAGTAATATGTCCTTTAAGAATGATTATATTGAAGTAACATTATAAATATCAACAGCATTTAATTCAGTGTTTCATACATTGTTATCAGCATTGTTAACTAAACTTTCTATGACTGCTACTACTATCATTATTCCTAATATTGTTTTAAGCTTTCAGATTGCTCTCACTTGTCTAACTTCTAGCTGATTTTGAAGTACAAAATATTACATCAGACTAAGGAAGAAATAGATAATTTTTCACTTAAATATTTGCCTCTTTGAGATTAGTGAACAAAGCATAATTCCTTGCCCCTCAAAGGACTTTATGTTAGCCAATTCTAGTATGCCATATCCCAATGGGACATGAGTCTTTTTGCCCCTTCCTTTTAGATTTGGTGGTAATTTGCAAGGATAAACACTTGAGCACTCCAGATACTTATGTTTGTTAGTACATGTAAATGGTTAATTCTACACTGACAGGCACATATTAAATTGGTTCTGCTCATAATAAGTTATTTCTTTGTTATTTTAGCACAGCCCTTATGCTTGCCATATGTGATGGATCATCAGAGATAGTTGGCATGCTTCTTCAGCAAAATGTTGACATCTTTGCTGAAGATATGTGTGGAATGACTGCAGAACATTATGCTGCTGCTTGTGGAGTTAATGTGTAAGTGTTTACATTTAAAAGCTAGGTGAGATTTTATAGTTTGTTCCAGGTAGTTTTTGAATGACAGTGACTTAATTCACTTTATCAGCCAGAAACTAGGCAAAAAGCCAGACTAGTTAGAAGGAGTATTGGGTCCAGAATTCTTTATTTTAGGACTTTCAACAACTTTATCTCTATGGATCCTAATGTTGACTGCTTGATTTGAAGTATAATCCCTATGCGCGGGATAAATACAGTGTCACAATTTTAATTTTTCTAATTAGTTATTTGGGTCTTGAAATGTCCACTTTGGCAGAAAACCCGATAGTGTCCCCTGGGGGCTGTCTTCCATATCTCAATACTTGAATTTTTAAAAAGAATCTAAGGGGTTCCTTAAGTCCAAGGAAGATATTCATTTTGTATAAGTCAGAAGGACTTGGGGGGACATGGCCATTCTCTTCATTTTATTATTTCCATTGATTCTGTTGCTGCATCGTTGCCATTGAAATTGCGCCTGCAGTCTGGCAATGATCGACCTTTGTGACCAGGATGCCCTTACTAACACAGATCCCTCAGTTTTCATAGTGATCCGTATGTAGACTTCAAAGTTATTACAGTTTTTTTTTTTTACTTTTTTTAAAAAAAGTTATTATTATTTTTTTATTAATTACAAAGTTAATACACATACATATTCTCAGCCATTGTTTCCAAAGTACCAGCACTCCGCTCTGGCAGCTAGAACTTTTATCTTTAGCCACACACATAGTGAGCAAGTTGACCCTTCTCCCACTCAAAACCTCATGTGAAACCCACATCTTAACCTGGACTTGGCCTAGACCTTCATGGTAAGTTATCCTTTGAGTGACTTTTTTCTATTTTCTCTAGCAAATATTAGTTGTGATAGTTTAAAACTGTAAGTCAGGTTGAAATAATGTTACAGGAAGAAATTAGAGATCCATTTTTATTCTATTACCAGATCTATATCCCTGGCCCTTTATATCCTGTGTAGCACCATTTTGTAGGTAGTGGAAGGTCTCATCTTATTCTGTAAAATCCCATGTCATCTTTCCAAAGTTGTAGTGGGTTCTAACTTGTGGTTGTCCCCTCAAGTGATTCTTTTTTCCTAAAAGTAAAAATCTTCCTTGTTAACTTGCATCTCTACCTTGAGTTTTTAAAATATTTTCAAATTCTGCATTACCATGAAGCCATTCAATAGACTTCACTCTATCTCAAGTAAGTTGTTTAGATTTAACAGAGCAAGCCTCATCCATCACTGATAGTCTTCACATATAAAAGTAGGGATTTGTGCTGACTTCAGGGGTACATATGCTAAAATTGAAACAATGTCAAGAAGGTCAGCATGGTCCCTGCACAAGGATGACATACAAATCTGTGAAGTGTTGCGTATTTCTTGCAGTCCCCAAAAGGACATGTAACTACTTTCTAACTAGCTCCAAGGAAACGGTGTGAGTCAAAGCAAAATGGGTGGCACCCAGTATTGCAATTGTGATTTTCATACAAAAAATATTTATGTAAGGTGATATATGAAATGAGGTATGGTAACACATAGGATCTTCTGTGCAATATGTTGTTAGTAGGCATCTCAGAAATGAGAAAATACCAACTTGTATCTTCTTTGTGGAACTTATAAAAAATAAAGGTAGGGTTTTGTCTTCTACAGCAGCTGGAAATGAACATAGTGACTAAGCATCATTCTAACAAAGATTTGTTCATTCAGGTTAAAGGAGGTAGATAAAGAGTAGTAGTAGTCCAAGCCAGATGCTGACATCTGTTAGTTTTCTGCCTTTGGTGTGACTGATGAGCTCAGTAATAGAGGATAATCAGGTTATCCAATTTAATGAATTAATATATTTATAAATAAATTTCATTACAAATTATAAAATAGCTTAGATGCCTAAATTACAAGCCACAAGTAATAGAACATCTAATAACCAAAAGCAGGAATTAATAACAGAAAACTGCAACATTTGAACATTATAACCTATGAATAAACACTTTTTAAAAAAAAATTAAATTTATTTTTTGTAGAGACAGAGTCTCCCTGGGTTGCCCAGGCTGGTCTTGAACTTCTGGGCTCAAGCAATCCTCCTGTCTCAGCATCCCAAAGTGATTGCATCACAGGCATGAGCCACTGCACCAGGCCAACACATGGTGTTTTATTGGGAATTTTAAAATAGCTTCAGCAATAAGGTTCAAGAATAAATTATTTCATTGTTTCATTATTTCTTTGAGCATTTTAAAAGTGTTTTATTGTTAAATCTTTGTGATAACCTAGTGAAATAAGGCTCTAAAATCCTCATTTTTAGAAGACATTGAGCCTAAGAGAAGCAACTTGTTCAAGAAAAAATACCTGTTGGTAACTGCGCTAGGACTTTTTCTGAGTTAGGGACATTTTCTATTAAGCCAAGCTAACTCTAGTTAAATTTACTGAGTTATACAGCCCTCAATTCATGAATATTTCATCTTGCTCTATTTCTTCTTTAATTAGAAGCCTAATAAGTTCATAGAGCTTACAAACTTAAAGTCTATGGAATAAGTAATGTTCTGATGTTAGCTCTGATATTGTCTGAAATGCTCTAAGAACTTAATAAATTTAGTAAATGTTTTTTATATCAGCATTAAAATAGTAATTTTATTTATTACATTTTTATACGTAGCATTCATCAACAACTTTTGAAACATATACGAAAATTATCTAAAAATCCTCAAAATACCAATCCAGGTAAGACTTCGGATAGTAAGCTACTCTTGGTGGTGCTACCATAAGATTATGGAAGTGTTGATCACGAAAAAGCAATTCAAAAAGCAATGTGTAAATAGCATGTGTTTACATATATACATATATGTGGGTATATGTGGGTATGTACATATATATATATATATATAGCTTTGATTTAATTTTTTAGTTTATTATTCAGAGTTAGTTAAGAATTTAGTTGTAGGTAGTTTATAATCTCAAAAAATGTTATCTGAAAAAATGTTTAATTATGGTCCCTAAAATCCTATATAATACTTTTGTATAAATAACACAATTTTGTATATTGCATGATTCCTCAATTGTCATAACAACTTAAACTTGTTATAAAATGTATAACCCTTTGTGTGATTGATGAGCTCAGTAATAGGGTATGATCAGGTTATCCAATTTAATGAATTAATATATTTATAAATAAATTTGATTACAAATTATAATTAGTTTACATGCCCTGAATTACAAGCCACAAAGAATCGAACATCTAATAACGAAAAGTAGGAATTAATAACAGAAAACTGTAACATTTGAATATTATAACCTGCGGGAGTCTATCCTGCAGACCCCGGCTGCGTGACAAATGAGACGCATATCCAGACACCGATATTCAGTGAAAGAGCAGCAAGGGTTCTCAGCCAATTACAGACACCAAGGAAGTTGCTGTAAAGAGTCAGCAGCCACAACCCTGGCAAGTTGGCCCAGTGGGCAAAGTTTTAATGACAAAGGCTTTGAGTCAACATGCCTGTGGGTAATTAATCTGGTCGCCCCACCCCGGGAGAGCCATCCTGCTGGTGGGTGATCAAAGGGGAGTCTTAAAGCTGCATGAGTGGCCGGGCGCGGTGGCTCACGCCTGTAATCCCAGCACCTTGGGAGGCCGAGGCGGGCGGATCACGAGGTCAGATGATCAAGACCATCCTGGCTAATATGGTGAAACCCCGTCTTTACTAAAAGTACAAAAAATGAGTCAGGCTCTGTGGTGGGCGCCTGTAGTCCCAGCTACTCCAGAGCTGAGGCAGGAGAATGGCGTGGACCCGGGAGGTGGAGCTTGCAGTGAGCTGAGATCGCGCCACTGCACTCCAGCCTGGACGACAGAGTGAGACTCGGTCTCAAAAAAACAAAAACAAAACAAACAAACAAAAAAACGCATGAGTAAACAAGCTATTTAGATAAACTGCTCTACTTTCCTTTGTACCCACTTTAAGCTATTTACTCAAGGTAAAGATTAGACTGCTTTCAGCTATAACCCTATCTTGAGACTTTTACAAAACCTTCCGGCCTTCCAAGAAGATTTGGTCTATGTCCTATAATGTCATCTTAAAATGTTTCCCACCAACCTGATGAACTCCTACAATAACCTATGAAGGAACATGGTTTTATTTATTTATTTATTTATTTATTTATTTATTTACTGTAGAGACAGGGTCTTCTTATGTTGCCCTCAGGCTGGTATTGAACTTCTGGGCTCTATTTAATTTTTACAATAAATGGTTTGCATTTAGTAAATGAGAATTAATTACAGTTGAATCTTGAGCAATATAAGAGTTAGGGTGCTGATCCTCCATGCAGCTGAAAATCTGCTTCATATGAAAATCTGTTTCTTATGACTCCACCAAAACTTTGCTAATAGTCCACTCTTGACCTGGAGCCTTATTGAAAGCATAAACAGTCAATTAACACATAGTTTCTATTTTATATGCACTGTATACTGTATTCTTACAATAAAGTGAGCTGGAGGAAAGAAACTGCTAGAAGGAGGAAAAAATATATTCACTATTTATTAAGTGGAAGTGAATTAATATACATGAAAGTCTTCATTCTTATTGCCTTCACATTGAGTAGTCTGATAAGGAGAAGGCAGAGGAGAGATTTGTCTTGCTATCTTGCAGTGGCAAAGGAAAAGAAAAATCTATTAGTGGGCTCCTAGAGTGAAAACCCTTATTCGAGGATCAACTGTGTGACATAGTGACTTGTGTCGCTAAAAACGTAACTATCTTTAGAATTTGGAATTTAATAATACTTTTCTGGCACCATAAACAAATGTCAACAAGAATTGCACAACTTAGCCAGGGTACATCAGTACCAATAGGAGATTATCTTTCAACGACACCTACGGAGTGCAGAAGTCGGAAAAGCAATTCTTTATTGAGAAGTGCAGGATGTTACATAGTCTTGTACCAACAAGGTCTCACTATTATCAACTTCATTCCCTCTAAGTTGAAACCAAATAAGATATATTTACTTCATTAGAACAAGGTATGTTGTTCTATCTGCTGGATAATTAGTGTGTGAATAGCAATTTTGTTACAAGAAGTTACTCTGTTTCTAATAGCCAAAATATTATCATTATAAATATTCAAATAACACTAAACTCAAAAAGTTATAAAAAAATTACAAAAACTTTTCACAATAATGAAAATGCTACTGTGATATATAAATGTGACACAATGCATTTTACAATATGAACTGTATGAGCACATCTTTAATTTATTACGTATTTATCAAAGGACCTCTATAAGTTAGATTTGGCAAGCTGCAGGAGACAAAGATGGACTACACATAGTTTGGGTCTTTACAGTGCTCATAATACAGTAGAGCTGTGCCTACTGAATTTCTGTATTTTTCCAACAGAATTTCCCTAAAAATGCTTTTTTTTTTTTTTCGTTTATCCACTTGTCCACTTAACAAATAACTGTCAGGTATCTTTAAGGTACTAAGCATCTTCCTTGTTATTATCATTGTCATTTTTTATTTGCTTCTTTATTAAGGTACTAAGCATTTTTTCCTGTTATTGTCATCTTTTTAATTATTTATTACTTTATTTAGTGCTTACTCTGTGCCAGAACTCCTTTGAGAGCTTATAATTATTACTTATTATGTCATGTCATTACCATATTCAGCATGTGTCAGACATTTTATATCCAAGGTGAAGAATTAAAGCTTTAAAAAATTTAGTAGTGTCCAGTCACAGTGGCTCACTCCTGTAATCCTAGCACTTTGGGAGGCCAAGGCAGATGGTTTGCTTGAACTCAGGAGTTTGAGACCAGCCTGACTAACATGGTGAAACCCATCTCTACTAAATATGAAAAATTAGCCGGGTGATGTGGCCTGTGCCTGTAATCCCAGCTACTTGGGAGGCTGAGGTAAGAGGGTCACTTGATGTGGGAGAATTGTTTGAATTGCATTGAGCTGAGATCGCGCCACTGCACTCTAGCCTGGGTAACAGAGCAAGACTCCATCAAAAAAAAAAAAAAAAAAAAGAGAGAGAGAAAAGAAAAGTTTGGTAATATTTAAGGAAAGCATACAGAATGAGTAGAAGTTTGCCAGGTGAAGAGTCAGGAGGATGATATTAGCAGAAAGAAAATTTAACCAGATTGCATGTTTGGCAGAAGGAACACCTGCAGGAACAACTGATGAGGCTGCACCCTTGGCGGAAAGAACTCCTGACATGGCTGAAAGCTTGGTGGAAAGACCACCTGATGAGGCTGCACCCTTGGTGGAGGGAACATCTGACAAAATTCAATGTCTGGGGAAAGCGACATCTGGAAAGTTTGAACAGTCCTCAGAAGAAACACCTAGGAAAATTATGAGGCCTACAAAAGAAACATCTGAGAAATCTGAATGGCCAGCAAAAGAAAGACCTAGGAAGATCACATGGGAGGAAAAAGAAACATCTGTAAAGACTGAATGCGTGGCAGGAGTAACACCTAATAAAACTGAAGATTTGGAAAAAGGAACATCTAAGATTATCACATGTCCTACAAAAGAAACATCTATAAAAGCGAGTACAAATGGTAAGATGCTTTAGTGAACTTTGTAGGGTTTATTGTCACTTCAGGTTCCCTAGTGAAAAAAGCGTGATATGGGAGTTGTTGGGAATGACTTGAATATGTAAATAAGGCAAACTTAGGCAACACTTTTTGATAGTATAGAAATAAGTAGATCTTATTCTGTAGGCCCTGGAAAAATTCTCACAATACTTCTGATTGTAAATACTAGATGAATTAACTAACAATGGCTAAAACCATAGGAACTAAAGTTCTTTTGGTGGTTCAGGGACATCATAGGCTCCCATTTTTATTGATTGATTGATTGATTGATTGATTGATTGATTGATTGATTTGAGATGGAGTCTCACACTGTTGCCTGGGCTGGAGTGCAATGGCGCGAGCGATCTCGCCTCACTGCAACCTCTGTCTCCTGGGTTCATGCAATTCTCCTGCCTCAGCCTCCCAAGTAGCTGGCATTACAGGCACCCACCACCATACCTGGCTAATTTTTTGTATTTTTAGTAGAGACAGGGTTTCACTATATTGGCCAAACTCGAACTCCTGACCTCGTAGATATCCCCTCCTTGGCCTCCAAAAGTGCTGGGAATTCAGGTGTAAGCTACCATGCCCAGCCAGGATCCCACTTTTGGTAGGTTAATTAACAACAGCTCCAATCATCATGCTCTCTCAAGACAATATTTAAAGGCTAGAAGGGCTGCTTTTGTTCACATGTTTCTTTTAAATAGGGAGAAAACTTGGAAACTTGCAGTAATCTTCCTGTAACCTTTTTGTTGGCTGGATTATACCATATGCCATTTCTAAGCCAGTCACTAGGAAAGCAAATGTAATTACTGTGATTAGTTTAGAATAATGGTTTCTCTTTTTGAGATGGGATTGGGGTAATGGAATACTGAATATCTAAAGAAACTTGTGTTTCTGCAGCAAGAAAGAATAAATAATGACTATGCATAGGAAGCCAGCAATGTTTTCTGCAGGGATTCATTGGAAAAGTTTGAGCAGAGGAGTCACAAGATTAGATCTGAGTATCAGGGCATTTTGGTCATGGTATAACGCAGAGATTGGCAAACTTTTCCTGTAAAGTGCCAGATAGGGAATATGTTAGACCACCAAGTGTGGTGGCTCATGCCTGTAATCCCAGCAGTTTGGGAGGCTGAGGCAGGTGAATCATGAGGTTATGAGTTTGAGAGCAGCCTGGCCAATATGGTGAAACCCCATCTCTACTAAAAATACAAAGAAAAAAAAAAAATCCAGGTGTGGTGGCACGTGCCTGTAATCCCAGCTACTTGGGAGGCTGAGGCAGGAGAATCGCTTGAACCAAGGAGGCGGAGGCTGCAGTGAGCTGAGATCGCACCGCTGCATTGGAGCCTGGGTGACAGAGCAGCACTCCATCTGAAAAAAAAAAAAAAAGAAACTAAGTATGTTAGGCCAGGTGGTCTCTATTACAGCTATTGAACTCTGCATTGTAGGGTGAAAGCAGTCATACATAATGTGTGAGCAAATAGGCATGATTGTACTCCAATAAAACATTGTATAAAATACCATTTGGTAAGCTGAATTTGGTCGGTGGCATATAGTTTGCTGGTCCTTCATATAGAAGATAATTACATAAAAGGATTTAAAAACAAAGTAAGCTTTTGTAGTAGTTCATGCTATAGTCTTTTTTTTTTTTTTTTTTGGTCACCAATCTGTGGCCTAGTATCAATCTATGATGAAAGTTTGACCCATCCAGGTTAAAGCTCAATTTACATATTTAAACCTGTAGGTCTTTCTTTGCCGTTATTTTATTTTGATTTGTTTTGCTAAATATTTTTAAACTTAAAAAATAACAATAGTAATTGGTAGGGTTTCTTTTTCACTGTGAAAGCCATCAGATAAGGGGCCATGTCTAAGTAGGAAATATAAATATAAAATAATAAGTTTGCATTTCCAGTGGCACTGGAAAGATAAAGCAAAGGCAGAAAAGAGATACAGTTAATACAGTTTAGTTATTATTGAGTTTAAAAAGCTATGGGACAGAGAAAATCTCAGGTCATAAGTTTACAGATTGTGAATAAGCATTTACAATGCTCATGGGGAAGGAGTAGAAAATTGTCAAGTCAGGGCTGGGCGCGGTGGCTCAGGCCTGTAATCCCAGCACTTTGGGAGGCCAAGGTGGGCAGATCACGAGGTCAGGAGATCGAGACCATCCTGGCTAACGCAGTGAAACTCCATCTCTACTAAAAATACAAAAAATTAGCTGGGTGTCGTGGCGGACGCCTGTAGTTCCAGCTACTTGGGAGGCTGAGGCAGGAGAATGTCATAAACCCAGGAGACGGAGAGTGCAGTGCACTGAGATCTCACCAGTGCACTCCAGCCTGGACAACAGAGCAAGACTCCATCTCAAAAAAAGAGAAAGAAAGAAAATTGTCAGGTCAGTAGAGAAGTGCAAACAGTCATGGGACAGACCAACAGTTTTCTTTACATGATGAGTTTAATGAAACACTCATGTGTGATACTTTCAGTAGGTAATTGGATTATAGGTATTTCTAGCTGGAGATAGAACTCTGGTTGGAGATGTAGGCTTAGAATAATTTTATTATAATTATTAGGCAAAGCCATAGATTTCAATGAACTTATCCATGATGCAGAAGATGTAGAATAAGAAGAAAGTCATTGACAAAACCTTGGGAGTATCAACATTTCACAGAGTCAAAAGACTTGGTCAAGGAGATTGAGCAGTGGCTAAAGAAAAGTATGAGAGGAGTCAGAGAAAGTGATGTTGCAAATTACTTTTAAATGTGAGAATTTCAAGCAGTAAGTTTACTGAAAAGTCAATTGAATTTAACTTACAAATTCTTCAGTGGTAATCTGTTCAAAAGAATTATTTCAGAGTTTTATTTATTTATTTATTTATTTATTTATTTATTATTATTATACTTTAAGTTGTAGGGTACATGTGCATAACATGCAGGTTTGTTACATATGGATACTTGTGCCATGTTGGTGTGCTGCACCCATCAACTCGTCATTTACATCAGGTATAACTCCCAATGCAATCCCTCCCCCCTCCCCCCTCCCCATGATAGGCCCCTGTGTGTGATGTTCCCCTTCCTGAGTCCAAGTGATCTCATTGTTCAGTTCCCACCTATGAGTGAGAACATGCGGTGTTTGGTTTTCTGTTCTTGTGATAGTTTGCTAAGAATGATGGTTTCCAGCTGCATCCATGTCCCTACAAAGGACACAAACTCATCCTTTTTGATGGCTGCATAGTATTCCATGGTGTATATGTGCCACATTTTCTTAATCCAATCTGTCACTGATGGACATTTGGGTTGATTCCAAGTCTTTGCTATTGTGAATAGTGCTGCAATAAACATACGTGTGCATGTGTCTTTATAGCAGCATAATTTATAATCCTTTGGGTATATACCCAGTAATGGGATGGCTGGGTCATATGAACATCTAGTTCTAGATCCTTGAGGAATCGCCATACTGTTTTCCATAATGGTTGAACTAGTTTACAATCCCAGCAACAGTGTAAAAGTGTTCCTATTTCTCCACATCCTCTCCAGCACCTGTTGTTTCCTGACTTTTTAATGATCGCCATTCTAACTGGTGTCAGATGGTATCTCATTGTGGTTTTGATTTGCATTTCTCTGATGGCCCGTGATGATGAGCATTTTTTCATGTGTCTGTTGGCTGTATGAATGTCTTCTTTTGAGAAATGTCTGTTCATATCCTTTGCCCATTTTTTGATGGGGTTGTTTGTTTTTTTCTTGTAAATTTGTTTGAGTTCTTTGTAGGTTCTGGATATTAGCCCTTTGTCAGATGAGTAGATTGCAAAAATTTTCTCCCATTCTGTAGGTTGCCTGTTCACTCTGATGGTAGTTTCTTTTGCTGTGCAGACGCTCTTTAGTTTAATGAGATCCCATTTGTCAATTTTGGCTTTTGCTGCCATTGCTTTTGGTGTTTTAGACATGAAGTCTTTGCCCATGCCTATGTCCTGAATGGTACTAGGTTTTCTTCTAGGATTCTTATGGTATTAGGTCTAACATTTAAGTCTCTAATCCATCTTGAATTAATTTTCGTATAAGGAGTAAGGAAAGGATCCAGTTTCAGCTTTCTACTTATGGCTAGCCAATTTTCCCAGCACCATTTATTAAATAGGGAATCCTTTCCCCATTTCTTGTTTTTGTCAGGTTTGTCAAAGATCAGATGGCTGTAGATGTGTGGTATTATTTCTGAGGACTGTTCTGTTCCATTGGTCTATATCTCTGTTTTGGTACCAGTACCATGCTGTTTTGGTTACTGTAGCCTTGTAGTATAGTTTGAAGTCAGGTAGCGTGATGCCTCCAGCTTTGTTCTTTTGACTTAGGATTGTCTTGGAGATGCGGGGTCTTTTTTGGTTCCATATGAACTTTAAAGCAGTTTTTTCCAATTCTGTGAAGAAACTCATTGGTAGCTTGATGGGGATGGCATTGAATCTATAAATTACCTTGGGCAGTATGGCCATTTTCACAATATTGATTCTTCCTATCCATGAGCATGGTATGTTCTTCCATTTGTTTGTGTCCTCTTTTATTTCACTGAGCAGTGGTTTGTAGTTCTCCTTGAAGAGGTCCTTTACATCCCTTGTAAGTTGGATTCCTAGGTATTTTATTCTCTTTGAAGCAATTGTGAATGGAAGTTCATTCCTGATTTGGCTCTCTGTTTGTCTGTTACTGATGTATAAGAATGCTTGTGATTTTTGCACATTAATTTTGTATCCTGAGACTTTGCTGAAGTTGCTTATCAGCTTAAGGAGATTTTGGGCTGAGACAATGGGGTTTTCTAAATATACAATCATGTCATCTGCAAACAGGGACAGTTTGACTTCTTCTTTTCCTAACTGAATACCCTTGATTTCTTTCTCTTGCCTAATTGCCCTAGCCAGAACTTCCAGCACTATGTTGAATAGGAGTGGTGAGAGAGGGCATCCCTGTCTTGTGCCAGTTTTCAAAGGGAATTTTTCCAGTTTTTGCCCA